TGTAAACACGCAGACAATTGGCCCATTACCCTCAAGGATAGGGGGGGGAGGAGGAGGAGACTGCGTTATAGGGCTGGGAGGAGTAGGAGTGAGTTATGTTAGATTAGGTTAGGGATGGGTTAGGATGGGTTAGGTTAGAGTGGGTTAGGTTAGATTAGGTTAGGTTAGGTTAGGTTAGGGTTAGGTTAGGTTAGGGATAGGTTAGGTTAGGTTAGGTTAGGTTAGGTTAGGTTAGGTTAGGTAAGGTCCCAGCTGCGTTATTATGCCTGGGGTGGGAAGGGATAGTTGGCAGTAAAGTCGAGGCGGCAGATTGTAGGAGTTCCTTCCCAACAGAGGCCTTGATATTGACTCGTTCATTCCCTACTATAATTGGGTGAAGTTGCAATTGACATGTCGGATATTAAAACCCCTTTTCCCTTCATGGATATTGGTTCATGCGTCTCACAGTCCACCGGTTACATCAGTGTTCCTCCGACGCTGCTGGGAGAACTTTTATGTTATGGTCGTGTTTAATAAATTGTTCTTTTTTGTGAGGTTTTGGTTTTTATTTGTTTTATATATTGGTCAAGGATGGTCGAGAGAGAGAAAGAGAGAGAGAGAGAGAAAGATGGGGGGTGGGGGTGAGGGGGGGGAAGAGACAACAAATTAAACGGTAGAAAGAAAAAAAAGAAAAGAAACAGACAGAAAGACGGCTGAAGTAGATCCCGAGTCCTCACATGAAGTAGATCTTGTGGATGATTACACCTGATCACTTGGTCTTCATTTAACACAAACAACAACTACACGCACTCTCTGCACTAGATTATCCTGTGTGTATGTATGTATGTATGTATGTATGTATATATGTATTCCCTGTACGTTAGCAAAACCACACACACGCACAAAAACAAACCATTTAATCGTCGACCTCATGAAACAAATGGACCAACACAGAGAACAGCTACAGAACGTCTATTTAGCTAAACCCATTAAACTATATCAAGCTTCCATTTCCAATTATTGATATCGCTTGAAAAAAATAAAATAAATAAATAAAATTGTTACCGTGAAATATTTCCCATGTCATATACAACAATATTAATAGAACGAGAGTTTGGTGTAGGCAGGAGGATATTAATGGTGACAAATACTTTCAAGGTCACTGTCATTCTGAGGCTTTTATCCCTCCTCTCTCTCTCTCTCTCTCTCTCTTTCTCTTTCTCTCTCTCTCTCTCTCTCTCTCTCTCTCTCTCTCTCTCTCTCTCTCTCTCTCTTCTTTTCTCCCCTCCCTCCTCACCTTCTCTACCCCCTTCCCCTCTGACCCTCCCTTCCTTCCCTCCATACTGCCCTTCTCTACCCCCTTCCCCTCTGACCCTCCCCTTCTTCCCCCTCCATACTGCCCTTCCTCTGCCCCCTCCCCTCCCCCCTCCCCTTCCCGCCAAGTAGTCATGACGTTCCCTGAGGCCAAAACTTGTGTCAAGGAAAAAATTGTCAAGGTTCCGTGTCAATAAAAGCCCAAATGTGGTGTCAATAAAAGCCCAAATGTGGTGTCAATAAAAGCTCAAATGTGGTGTCAATAAAAGCCCAAATGTGGTGTCAATAAAAGTCCAAATGTGGTGTTAATAAAAGATCACACAATAATATGCAATAAGACAACCATGGAAGGTGACAGAACAACATTGTGACGTCAGACAGGTGTAAAGATGATAGCGACGGTGTGCCCAGGTAAGACCAGACATCAAGAGGGAAGGAGGGAGGGAGGGAGGGAGGGAAGGAGGGAGGGACGGGTAGTGAGACAGATTGGGGGAGTGAGGGTGAATCCTGCAGGTGATCGATGACTGAAATGACGAGTCACGAGAAGACTTGATGGATTGACCAATGGCGGACAGACAGGGGAAAAATTGAATCAAGATTGAAGAACACACAGAGAGAGAGAGATTTTCACCCGAGTGTGACCTCGAGGGGTTGTTCTTCACCCAGTATGGCCTCGCAAGTTGTTCTTCATAGCATGGCCTCGCAAGTTATTCTTCACCCAAAGTATGGCCTCGCAGAATTTATTCTTCTGCAATGTATGGCCTCGCAGGGTTGTTCTTCACCCAGTATGGCCTCGCAGGGGTTATTCTTCACCCAGTATGGCCTCCTTGTGATTGTTCTTCACCCAGTATGGCCTCATGAGAGTTCCTCTTCACCCAATATGGCCTCACCAGAACTGTTCTTTACCCGAAAGTATGGCTCTTGGGGTTGTTCTTCACCAATGTAAGCCCTCCGCAGAAGTTGTTTCTTACCACCCAGTATGGCCTCGCAAGAACATTTCTTCTTCACCAGTAGCAGCCTCGCAGGTATTTCTTCACCAGTATGGCCTCGCAATTTGTTCTTCACCAGTATGGCCTCATAGATATATTCTCCTGAATCTGTTCTCCTTCCACCTTATCAATATTCCTCAAGAGCAGCCCCAGGCTCATAAGTTTTCCAGAGTCGTGCGTCACACCTTCCTAACACACACACACACACACACACACACACACACACACACACACACACACACACACACACACACACACACACACACACACACACACACACGTAGAGGCAATATTGTGCCCCCACCCCCTCCCTATATCCTTCCCTCCTGCCAAGATGATTTTATTTGAACTGTTGTTACGTTTCTTTGTTCTGGTTTACCCACAAGAGAGTTACTGTAGTAGAAACTGTATTGTTAACCTTCATACATGAAATATAATTCTGTATTTTGTAAGAGTTATTGTAGTTTGTCCCTCAAGTATGTAACATCAACAAGTTTTATGTCAACATTTTTTTTTCGCCTTTTATTATTATTATTATTATTATTATTATTATTATTATTATTATTATTATTATTATTATTATTATTATTATTATTATTATTATTATATAGCATGTTAATATTTCTGTAATCTAACCTAAAATAAAAAATATAAGTCATACGAATTTGTTAGATACACTTATATTGTCCCAGATAATAACACTACAGTCGTCAGCCTACAGAGGTGATATAGGACTCTCACCCATAAGCTCCTGTCTTAAACAACACAAGTGACTGATGGTATTAACTCAAGAGGCCAGTGTGTGTGATACCTCCTGCCTCGCCATACCAGTACTATGCTACCTAAACAACGTATCACAACACAACACAACACAACACAACAGCACAACACAATACAACTCAAGAACACAACAACACAACACAATACAACTCAAGAAAACAACCCAACATACAACACAACAGCACAACACAACACAGCACAACACAACCCAACATACAACACAACACAACACAACATTCAACACAACACAACTCGATACAGAAGGAGGCAGCGTGGAGTTAAGGTCCCCATTTACAGCTTGGTGAAGTAAAGATACACACTACACGCGAACCAGTGATCTTTAGGACAGAAGCCGAGCATTCTCTCCACTCAGCCACAACAAACTAACTCATCTTCTTATCATCTTTTATATTAATGAGCTTAACAAATCTACTCATTATATAACACATAATTAATTCTATATTTACAAACATGGAAACAAACGTAACAGATTATATCCAGACCAAAATCAGAAGACATTGATCATTTCTCACAAAAAGTCACTGAATGTTTTGATCAATTTTAACAATTTTATACAACAAACGGCATAACCAGTAACTTACAACTTACACAACAAATCTATATCGTCATTAATTCATACATTGGTAACACCTATAATAAACCCGTTCGTTATTTCCCACATTGGAAATTCACACAACAAACTTTACCCAATAAATGCTTAATTGAATCGGCAATTAGAGCTACGAATTTACTCACTATCTCACCAGTTAAATAAAACTCACCCAACAAATTTATTCATTACACATTTTTTGTCCAACTCACTCAATAAACTCTACCTAATGAGTGCTTAGCTCATTCGGTGATTAGTACAGCCTATTTACTCATTATTGCATCAGTTAACCTCGTGAGTATGATGACATTGTATTCGGGGTCTTAAGTCATCGTATTCACTGGGTTAAGTCATCATACTCACGGGGTTCAATTCACTCATTGCCTCACTCATCTATCTATCTATCTATCTATCTATCTATCTATCTATCTATCCATCTATCTATCCAACGAGTCAAGATTGCCCAAGGTACTTCAAGCGCTAAATTGAAAAGTTGAACGATTGAGAAGAAAATACTGTCAGAATATTGGCGAAGAATGGGGTCCAGGAACGCTGACTCGGACAGAAAGTGTGGCGATGAGAGTGTGAGGAACGACAGACAGACAGACAGACAGACAGAGGGACAGACAGACGGACAGACGGACGGACGGACGGACAGAAAGACAGATAGACAAACAGATAAAGAGAAAAAATAATTAACAAACAAGAAAATCAAGCATAAAATCAACCCAGAAAATGATTATTATAAATAGTAAACAACAGCACCAAAGAAAACGTGACCGGAAGCGATATAAGGGAGGGGATACTTTACTAAAGAGTAAGACTTCAACAGGGCCCGAGGGAATAGACTGTTAAGTGGATACGTAATGGAACGCTAAATCTAATCCTGTTATGAACCAAGAGAGAGAGAGGATTGAATATCAGAGTAGATGGGGAGAGAGACATAAGGCTCGACGCAGTAACACACACACACACACATCACTATAACAACAGCCTCATCATCCCAACTAGTGTATAAAATCAACAACTCGTAGGTAACCTGTGTGTTGACTCCTTGTTGATCTCACCTATGTATCATTACCATGTTGGAGTTACTGTGTTAAATGAGCCTCTTTCTCTCTCGTCTTGATGTGCTGGTGTATCGCGTATATCAATTGTATATATTAAGGCGTGGATGTTATTATTATTATTATTATTATTATTATTATTATTATTATTATTATTATTATTATTATTATTATTATTATTATTATTATTATTATTATTATTATACATACACACTATCACTGTTACTTTCCTGATGCTTACTATTACCATTACTATTACCGTTAGTCACCATTACCGTTACCGCTACTGTCACCATTACTGTTACCGTTACTGTCACCATTACTGTTACCGTTATTGTCACCATTACCGTTACAGTCACTATTACCGTTACTGTCACCATCACCGTTACTGTTGTTGTAATCGATATCGTTACCGTTACTGTCACTATTACCGTTACTGTTACTCTCACCATTACCGTTACTGTTACTGTCATCATTATCGTTACCGTTACTGTTGCTGGCCTCAATACCTCTGTTGTTACCGTTGGCATGGGATCGCGAGCAGGCAGCCACTGGGCATAGCTTTTAACAGAACACGAAGGCCTTTACAATAATTGGTGTCGAACATTGTACAGTCGGCCTTGTCTCTGTTGTATTGAGAGAGAGAGAGAGAGAGAGAGAGAGAGAGAGAGAGAGAGAGAGAGAGAGAGAGAGAGAGAGAGAGAGAGAGAGAGAGATGAAGAAAAAATAAGAGATAAAGGAAGAGACACAGAAAAAAGGAAAAGACAAGGTCAACTAACTAGTGACATTAGATCATTAAGTGACACAACATTAAGTGACACAACATTAAGTGACACAACATTAAGTGACACAACATTAAGTGACACAACATTAAGTGACACAACATTAAGTGACACAACATTAAGTGACACAACATTAAGTGACACAACATTAAGTGATACAACATTAAGTGACACATTAAGTGACACAACATTAAGTGACACAACATTAAGTGATACAACATTAAGTGACACAACATTAAGTGATACAACATTAAGTGACACAACATTAAGTGATACAACATTAAGTGATACAACATTAAGTGACACAACATTAAGTGATACAACATTAAGTGACACAACATTAAGTGATACAACATTAAGTGACACACATTAAGTGACACAACATTAAGTGACACAACATTAAGTGACACAACATTAAGTGATACAACATTAAGTGACACAACATTAAGTGACACAACATTAAGTGACACAACATTAAGTGATACAACATTAAGTGACACAACATTAAGTGACACAACATTAAGTGATACAACATTAAGTGACACAACATTAAGTGACACAACATTAAGTGACACAACATTAAGTGACGCAACATTAAGTGACACAACATTAAGTGACACAACATTAAGTGACGCAACATTAACGAGACCAAAATCTTTAAGTGCGAGCAAAAAGAAACACAAACTTTTCCTTCCTGTATATTTTCCGAATTCTGAAGAGAATTGAGAGTGACGTGTGTGTGTGTGTGTGAGTGTGTGTGTGTGTGTGTGTGTGTGGTCAAAATCCCTTTCATTGGTTCCTCAAGATATTTAATTTCGAAGAATATTCAAAACACACACACACACACACACACACACACACACACACACACACACACACACACACACACACACACACATGTACACGCACCTGAGAGTCACCACCTGTACACGCCCTCGAGCTAACATTATGTAACATCATCACAGGGAAATCTTCAAGGCTTTACTGTTCATCAGGAAGTTCGGATGTCGGTAAAGGTCGGATAGGCCTATTGCGTACATTGCCATTGCAAAGGGCCCCCCTGCGTTGTTCCCTCAGTTGACTCTATGATGGTATCACCTCGTAGAGCCTTGGTGTTTACTATATACTCAATAAACAAGAACTTACAGATGCCAATGCTGTACGGTACGGTAGACCAGTAGAAGGTTTGCCCTCCCAATGCGTGTGTGGCTCTTCCTATGACGTCGATCACCCCATGGTGTGCAAGAAAGGGGGCTTCATATACATGAGGCATGACGAGGTAAGGGATCTCACAGCAAATATCTTGAAGGAAATCTGCCGTGATGTCAGGGTAGAACCAACCTTCTTTCCATTGAACAGTGAGAATTTCCAACATAGGACTTCAAACACATCCAACGAAGCCCGTGTTGACGTCAATGCTCGAGGATTCTGGACGCGGGGACAGCGAGCCTTCTTCAACATCAGGATTTTTTATCCCATGGCCGCATGTCACCGTAACTTAGCTCTCGATGCTGCACACAGGAGGAACGAGAACGACAAGATAAGGGCATAGGGGAGAGAATTCAGAACGTTGGTCAAGGCAGCTTCACTCCTCTAGTGTTCACAACCTCTGGTGGGATGGGACCAAGTGCAAGATGCTTCTACGCCAGACTCGCGAAGGTGCTATTCAAACAGAAGCAGCAGCCCAGAAGTTATGTTACAGCCTGGATGAGATGTCGACTGTCCTTCTCTCTCCTTAGGTTTGCTTTGCTCTGCCTCAGGGGAACCAGAGCATCGGCTCCAAAGCCGACAACAGTTGCAGATACTGACTATGAGGCAACAGTCACTGAATGCCGCATAGATCTGTGGCTCAACTAACTCAACACAGCCAGGGTAGCTACTTATGTATTAGAATATTTAATTTTAAGGGAACAAACTGGCGGCGAAGGTGTGGCTATTAGGGGAGGATGGAGGCCATAGGAAAAAAAAAGTAGTAGTAGTAAAATCAAATTAATGGAATGAAGAAGAGACTTGAAGCTATGATATTCAATAGAAAAAATACAAAAAAATAAAACAATACGGCCGTTACATGGTTTAGAAATAATGAAGGCGGGAGTAAAGAGATGTTCAAGAAACGTAAAATGGGTGTGAAAAAGGTGTGTTAGACGGAGAACCTGGTGTTAGGGTTAAGCTAATAATTATCACTGTTTCTCGTGTCTAACCATCTGGGGTACAGTCCAAGTACAGATAATCTTATGGGAAATTGTCATAAAAAGTACAACAATTACTTAAAGTATAGAGGCCTAGTTGTTATCATCAGCTTTGAGATATATCTTGGTCTATTGCCCTTAACCAGACCAGACCAGACCAGACCAGACCAGACCAAACCCAGCTAAACCAAACTGCTTAAGCTCTGATGGTACACAGCCAATACGGTTTGTTATATCTCTCTATCAATACATACCTTTACCTGTGCTTCAATCTCTTCATATACCAACAAAAACTCAGAACAAAACACTACCCAACTGGCGGGTGTTTGACAGAAAGCAGCCGTCATGTTCGTCCACTCACAAAGAGAATATCAATCGCGTAACGTTTTTTTTTTCCACAAGTTTTCATTCCTTACTGTAGCGGCGGCAGTTTCAGTTATCAGAGAGAGAGAGAGACAGACAGACAGACAGACAGAGAGAGAGAGAGAGATTTTTGTTAATTATAATGGCTTTAGAATTTGAGTCTCACAAATATGAGACTAAAGAGAACACTTCCATTTGTTAATTAAGTACAACTACTGTATTGGTTTTTGTTTGAACGTGATAGGTCGCGGGGATCACTATTGGGCCTCCGATATCTGTGAATTTTTCAAAATCCGTGAAGCTTCGAATTTGGTCAAACACGAGAAATCGAATTACTGCAAGGCATCGAATTCTGTGGTGCTTTGAATACTGTGAGGCTTCGAATTGTATGAGGCTTCGAACTCTGTGAACCTTCGAATTCCAATGAAACAATAAATGTAATTCTTGTGAACACTGTGAGTTGTCTTTCCAACTTACTTTACCCACAGAATTAACAAAACAATCTACTAATGCTCTAGGATGGGGTTACTATTAAATGACCTTTGACCTTATATGTCAACATCACAGTGACCGAGGATGGATTATTCTGAGTGACCTTTGACCTTGTAGTCTTAGTACATATGAAACAGTCGTAATATATATCTGAAACATTCTCAAAATCACTAAGTCTCGGAGATCTATACGGACATGAAGCTTTGTTTCTCGTAGACGAATGTGAAAACCATTACCATATTGCAAAACACAATCTTACTCAAACCTAACCTAACCTAACCCAAAAACCCCTATTACATATATGATTTACTTTCACTATACATACATACATACATACATACATACATACATACATACATACATACATACATACCATATAGCAGCATGATCTCACACTTGTATAAAATAAAACAAATATTCAAATATTCTTTACAGGTACAAAAATATTTACCACGCTTTTAATATACATTTTAACGCCACATATTTTAAATACAAAAAGTACAAAAATGTTTAGTACTAGAATAATCCACAACTGGTGACATACTGTATAAAGCAACAAACACTTTAACACAAACGTTTACCTCACATATTAACACGGAATAACACTGGTGACATACTGTATAACGCAACAAACACTTTAACACAAACGTTTACTTCACATATTAACACGGAATAACACTGGTGACATACTGTATAACGCAACAAACACTTTAACACAAACGTTTACCTCACATATTAACACGGAATAACACCGGTGACATACTGTATAACGCAACAAACACTTTAACACAAACGTTTACTTCACATATTAACACGGAATAACACTGGTGACATACTGTATAACGCAACAAACACTTTAACACAAACGTTTACTTCACATATTAACACGGAATAACACTGGTGACATACTGTATAACGCAACAAACACTTTAACACAAACGTTTACTTCACATATTAACACGGAATAACACTGGTGACATACTGTATAACGCAACAAACACTTTAACACAAACGTTTACCTCACATATTAACACGGAATAACACTGGTGACATACTGTATAACGCAACAAACACTTTAACACAAACGTTTACCTCACATATTAACACGGAATAACACTGGTGACATACTGTATAACGCAACAAACACTTTAACACAAACGTTTACCTCACATATTAACACGGAATAACACCGGTGACATACTGTATAACGCAACAAACACTTTAACACAAACGTTTACCTCACATATTAACACGGAATAACACTGGTGACATACTGTATAGCAACAAACACTTTAACACAAACGTTTACCTCACATATTAACACGGAATAACACTGGTGACATACTGTATAAAGCAACAAACACTTTAACACAAACGTTTACTTCACATATTACCGGAATAACACCGGTGACATACTGTATAAAGCAACAAACACTTTAACACAAACGTTTCCTTACATAACACGGAATAACACCGGTGACATACTGTATAAGCAACAAACACTTAACACAAACGTTTACTCACATATTAACACGGAATAACACTGGTGACATACTGTGCAACAAACACTTAACACAAACGTTTACCCTACATATTAACACGGAATAACACTGGTACATACTATAAAGCAACAAACACTTTAACACAAACGTTTATCACATATTAACACGGAATAACACCGTGACATACTGTAACGCAACAAACACTTTAACACAAACGTTTACCACATATTAACACGAATAACACCGGTGACATACTGTATAACGCAACAAACACTTTAACACAAACGTTTACTCCACATATTAACACGAATAACACTGTGACATACTGTATAACGCAACAAAACACTTTAACACAAACGTTTACTTCACATATTAACACGGAATAACACTGGTGACATACTGTATAACGCAACAAACACTCTTAACACAAACGTTTACCTCACATATTAACACGGAATAACACCTGGTGACATACTGTATAACGCAACAAACACTTTAACAAACGTTACCTCACATATTAACACGGAATAACACTGGTGAGACATACTGTATAACGCAACAAATGACTTTTAACACAAACGTTTACTCACATATTAACACGGAATAACACTGGTGACATACTGTATAACGCAACAAACACTTTAACACAAACGTTTACTTACATATAACACGGAATAACACCGTGACATACTGTATAACGCAACAAAACACTTTTAACACAAACGTTTACTTCACATATTAACACGGAATAACACTGTGACATATCAGTGATAACGCAAATTAAACACTTTAACACAAACGTTTACTTCACATATTAACACGGAATAACACTAAGACATACTGTATAAAAGCAACAAACACTTCTTAGCACAAACGTTTACTTCACATATTAACACGGAATAACACCGTGACATACTGTATAAAAGCAACAACAAACACTTTAACACAAACGTTTATCACATATAATACTGGAATAACACCTGCGACATACTAACGCAACAAACACTTTAACACAAACGTTTACCTCACATATTAACACGAATAACACCTTCGGTGACATACTGTATAACGCAAACAAACACTTTAACACAAACGTTTACTTCCACATATTAACACGGAATAACACTGGTGACATACTGTATAAAGCAACAAACATCTCTTAACACAAACGTTTACTTGCCATATTAACACGGGAATAACACCGGTGACACATACTGTATAACGCAACAAACACTTTAACACAAACGTTTACTTGGCCATATTAACACGAATAACACTCGGTGACATACTGTATATAACGCAACAAAACACTTAACACAAACGCATTTCACATATTAACACGGAATAACACTGGTGACATACTGTATAAAGCAACAACACTTAACACAAACGTTTACTTCACATATTATTAACACGGAATAACACCGGTGACATACTGTATAACGCAACAAAACACTCTTTAACACAAACGTTTACTTCACATATTAACACGGAATAAGACTGGTGACATACTGTATAAAAGCAACAAACACTTAACACAAACGTTACTTCCACATACACGGAATAACACCGGTGACATACTGTATATAAAGCAACAAAATTTTAACACAAACGCTTACTTCAATATATTAACACGGAATAACACCGGTGACATACTGTATAACGCAACAAACACTTTAACACAAATGCTTATCACATATTAACACGGAATAACACTGGTGACATACTGTATGCTAAACAAACACTTTAACACAAACGTTTACTTCACATATTAACACGGAATAACACTGGTGACATACTGTATAAAGCAACAAACACTTTAACACAAACGCTTACTCACATATTAACACGGAATAACAATTGCGACATACTGTATAAAGCAACAAACACTTTAACACAAACGTTTACTTTGGCTATTAACACGAAATAACACTGTGACATAATTGTATAACGCAACAAACACTTTAACACAAACGTTTACTACATATTAACACGAATAACACTGGCAGACATACTGTATAAAAGCAACAAACACTTAACACAAACGTTTACTTCACATATTAACACGGAATAACACTGGTGACATACTGTATAACGCAACAAACACTTTAACACAAACGTTTACTCCTACATACAACACGGAATACTACCGGTGACATACTGTATAAAGCAACAAAATATTTTAACACAAACGTTTACTACATATTAACACGGGAATAACACTGAGACATACTGTAAGCAACGCACAAAACGTTTTAACACAAACGCTTTACTTCACATATAACACGGAATAACACTGGTGACATACTGTATAACGCAAAACAAACACTTTAACACAAATGTTTACCTCACATATTAACACGGCATCAACACTGGTGACATACTGTATAACGCAACAAACACTTTAACACAAACGTTTACCTCACATATTAACACGGAATAACACGGTGACATACTGTGGCACCCAAATGAAACACTTTTAACACAAACGTTTACCTCACATATAACACGGAATAACACCGGTGACATACTGTATAACGCAACAAACACTTTAACACAAACGTTTACCTCACATATTAACACGGAATAAATTCAAGTCATATATCATAATCTTATATCTACCATTGATATAGGAAAAACATATAGTTTCAACAAGGTATCAATTGGAACTTATAAAAATATATATAAAATAAGTCACCTATATATAACAAGTTAAATTACCTTATATACCTATAAATATACCTATAATAACACGGATATACTCGTAGTATAATTTTGACAGGGTTAAATTTTATACGGGTTATGTAAAGTGAGGTAGGAAAATATCCAGGTTGAGAAGATACTGTGGGTAGTGCACAGTGTAGGGAGGTGAGAGAACCTCACTACCTCACAGTGTAGGGAGGTGAGAGAACCTTCTACCTCACAGTGTAGGAGGTGAGAGAACCTTCTACCTCACAGTGTAGGAGGTGAGAGAACCTTCTACTCACAGT